TTCCATCCCATTTCCCCTTTTCCTCCTCATTTCCCCTTTCTTCCACTCCATTCTCCCTTTTTCCACCTCATTCCCCTTCTTCCACCCCATTTCCCCCTTTTCCCTCTTTCCCCCTTTCCCACCCCATTCCCCCTTTTCCATCCCATTTCCCCTTTTCCTCCTCATTTCCCCTTTCTTCCACTCCATTCTCCCTTTTTCCACTTCATTCCTCTTTTTCCACCCCACGCCTCCTTTTCCACCCCATTTCCTTCTTTTTCACCCCTTTCTGCCCCTTTCCACAGCCTTTCCCCCTTTTCCCTCCCTTCCCTCCCTTTTTCCACCCCCTTTCCCACCCCATTCCCCCTTTTCCCCCTCCACCAATCCCGCAGCAGCCGGAGCCTCCCAAGCCCCGATGCTCCCCCGCTTCCCAACTCCCCTTTTCCCCCTTTCCCCCCCCTTTTTCCCCTTTTCCCGCACCTGTTGACGCTGCAGAGGATGGAGGAGAGCCCTGCCAGCAGGTTGGCCACGGAGAGCCCGTTGGCGGCGTTTTTCCTCAGGAATTCCAGCGCCCGCTCCCGCCCCTCCCGCTCGCTCAGCACCAGCTTTTTGGTGGCCTGGAAAACACCTACAACCCCCCCCCGCGTGTTCCAACCAAAAGAGAGGCTTCAGCCCCCCCCAAAACAAACCAACTCAGTGCCTGGGCTTCCCCCTCCTCAAACCAAAATCCCCCAAAAAGAAGCAGAGGGGGGGAGGGGGGATTTATTTGGTGCTGCCCTCCCCCAAAAAAATGGGAGGAAAGAGGCCAAAAAAAAAGAAAAAGCGAAGAAACCGAGCAAAGAACGGCGAAAAAAATGAATGAAACGAAGGAAATTAAGCCAAACCCAAGCTTAGACTAAAAGCCAACCCCGGTTTTAAGCTCTGTATGGATCTTAAATACCTATCGGGCTAAGCTTTAGGGAAAGAATTTAAGGGTCCTGTGCTGTGCCCCCCGCCTTTGCCGTGTCCCAAAGCCAGGAAGATCCTTCATCTGAAAGAAAACAGCACGTCAGAGCAAAACAACCCCCCCCAGCCCCTCCGAGACCCTCCGAGACCACTCAGAGACTCTTGGAACTCCTTAGAGCCCCTTCAGAGACCCCTCAGAGCCTCTTAGAACCCCTTGGAACCCCTTAGAGCCCCCTCAGAGACCCCTCAGAGCCCCTTGGAACCCTTTAGAGCCCCCTCAGAGCTCCTCAGAGCCTCTTAGAGCCCCTTGGAACCCCTTAGAGCCCCCTCGGAGCTCCTCCGAGACCCCTCAGAGTCCCTCAGAGCCTCTTAGAGTCCCTCAGAGACCACTCAGAGACCCCTCAGAGCCCCTTAAAGCCCCTCAAAACCTCCTCAGAGCTCCTCAAAGACCCCTCAGAGCCCTTCTGAGCCCCCTTAGAGCCCCTCAGAGACCACTCAGAGACCTTTAGAGACGCTCAGAGCCCCTCTGAGCCCCCTCAGAGCCCCTCAGAGCCCCTTTAGAGCTCCTCAGAGCCCCCTCAGAGCCCCTTTAGAGCTCCTCAGAGCCCCCTCAGAGCCCCTTTAGAGCTCCTCA